ACCATTTGTTCCTTCAGGATGCTGGAGCCCATGTGCACGATTGGTTTGAAATCTTCTATATTCACAAACCCATTTGAAGCACTGGACATTCGCTTTTCATCCTGTCCACTTCGTAAACAACCCCCACGCCATGAGTAAGACTTCCCTGACAGTAGCTCTATACGCATAACCATATGAAAGTATTTCGTGAAGGAGAGTGGACTCCTCCTATCTCTGACTGTACCACGGTATAAAATCATCATCTAACAATGAAATTAATTTAAAACAAAATTCATTCAACATAAATTTTTATACAAAACTTACAGTGTTATAATTCAATTGACATTTAATTGTTTGATTAGATTTATTATTTTGCATTATACTATTATGTTTTGTACAATTAGTACGTATAAGATGTAAATTATATTGAATGAATAAACCATTCACAATCTAATTGAAAGAAAAAAAAATTATCAATATAATCAGATACTACTTGTATTGTCATATTAGTAATATTCGTTTGTGTATACCAAAAATTAGAATTGATTATTTCATTTACAAGAATCACTGATTGTTTAATGATAGTCTCATTTAAAATAGAATATTTATCACTATTGATATGATCAATTCCACCATGACTTAAACATGATTGTATTGTAATAGTTATAATGAATAGAATGATCAAACTGTATGAATTCATTATGATATTGATAAACTACTACTAATGATACTACTTATATATATATATATATATATATATATATATATATATATATATATATATATATATATATATGATTCGTTTTAATGATGAAGTGTAAATGTATTTCAACTTTAGTAAACAAATATTTATTTACATAGGATTGTTTGTTTGTTTGTTTTGTTTTGTTTGTTTATATGTGTTATATTACTCAGTAAATAGATAAAGTTTATTCTCCAAACGTTTTCATATAACCTCATTGAGTAAACATAATGAATAATGAAGGAGTATTGATTGATAATGTTGTCCTATTCACTCAGTTGTAATGATGTAATGAATAAAGATTTTGTTAAGGATAACTAGTTTAATAATTTGATAGTTGAGATCATGATTCAATGCAAGCTAGATTACCTTGGAACATCTGGAAGGACCGGATAGTTGTTTCGTCCATTTGTGGGACTCCTTAGGAGTTCATATCCACGATCCAGGTTCCACGACTTTTGAAACCCAGAACCTATTGATCTCGCCTGCGAACGCTTAACTTCTAAATCACTGATCCGATGTCTAACGATGTTAATGTCTAACTATAATCAGTCCACAAAATTGAGCTATACGTCCATCATTATCCTCAGTCAGTAATCCATTTACTATTGAATGCAAGATTACACAGTGGTTTAGTATAATATGAAGAGTATGAATCAAGTAAAACATTTGTACATGTTTCATCTGATGTCATTCCTGTTGTTCTTAATTCAGTCCTGTATTGCTAAGTATTTTACTTCTGATTCGTGTTACATACTACTTATACCTGTCAACATAAGTAGTATATACCACAGTAATATTGAAAAATTATTCCATAAATATGGAGTTTAATTTGAACTGAACTCAATAACAATATGATATTATTGATTGTATGAGGATTTGTAAACTTAACTGAATGATTTGGTGGTAAGCCAGGATGAACATATACAAAACGAAAGTCGACAATACTGACAGAAGACAAGGATTGTAGATTTCTACTTAGAATAATCATTATAAATCTTTTTATGTTCGTGCTTCAATCCTCTGTGGGATTACATGTGGACAGGTAGATGATGGACCCTTAGTTAAAACAAAACGGTTATTCAATGCTTCTATGTCTTAGTGATTCACTAGCTCCTATCTGTATACACCGAAAACAATTCCAAGATTAAAGTAATTTCTAAAGATCAGTTTAACATAAAACCGGATGGTATTATCATGAACGAGAACATACATGGGAACAATCGATGTATTTGAACACAAAATTACAGAATATGGTAGTAAAAGCTGAAAACTATACAGTATGTGAATCAATTGTCTCAGACTTCATTGTTCCATCGATTCCACACAAATCATTCTTTTTTCTCGTTTCTTTGATCTTCTTAACCGTTTGCCTCCAGGCATTCCACTTTCGATTGACGATACATATTACTTATATCTGTCAACATCAGTAGAGTACACCACAATATCATCTTCAAATGATGGAGAATTTTTCAACATGATATATTGTTATAATAGGTTGTCTCATTTTATCTTGTAACTTCATTTGTAATAAATAGATTGTGACTGAAGGCCAGACTTAATATGCATGTTTTGCCAACTGTATGTGCCTGAAACCTAGTTTAAATGTTTACATTACGTCTAGAACCCAGCATTTCACGCTTTAAACTCTTAAAGTATTATGAACTAAACTACTGAATTAAGATAGTTGCTTACTCACCACCCAGTTATCGATCAATTGTAAATACATCTCAGACCTACAGGAGGTCAGTCGAGGCTCGGATAGCTAAATGGTAGAGTCTCTAAATGTGAACATGAATGACACGGGATCGAATCCATCAAGGAGCATCCGTCCCCTCAAGATTACAGGTACACCCTGCTGACGAGTGTTTAATAGCACGAAACCAAGGTACAGGGTTTACTGTTCACTACCTCCAACCACCATCTTATCGTAATATAATGGAAAAAAAATGAAAGAACGACAACCTACTGACAAATGAACCATACAACTTGGCATTCTATATCCTGATGTAACTTGATATTATAGGTAAAAATTACCATTATTTACTTTCATCAACAGTTTCAACCAGACACAATAAATTCAAATATTATAAGTATTCATGTAAATAAAAACATTTTAGAATCATACTTTGTGAAGATTGTAGTAAAGATTAAAAAAGTATGAATCGCTGCGTTAGAACATAAGTCGATCGAGATTATACATTAATACCGTTGGAAACTGGCTCAGTGGTTTAGAGGTTAAGCGTTCACATCCAAATATCCTGTAATCGAATCCTGTATGTAGGCTCCTAGTTGATGCTGCCATCCAATACATTCACCTTTTCAATGGTGGTCTAGCTTAGATCGACTCATGAATTGAACTATTAAAATTATTACAATCTCCATTCTGCTATTATCTTTTTGTTAATTGATATGCATTTTCAGGAGAATCTCATCGATACTGATATTTTACTACATGTGGCTTGTATATATTCTACATTGTGCGTAGTATTGTAATCCAGAACGCTCATTTTGTTCCATTATGAAATTATCAGTTAGATCTTTCTGAGTTGAAGTGTTGACAACTTATTCAGTGCGTATTTATATAGTTAATTAATGTAAAATTCAATATCGCTATTTTGTTAGAGGTTCTAACTACAGATCTTAGTTTGATCAATGCCTTACAAATACTGTAGTGAACAGAATACAGGGGGGGGGGGTACAACAAATTACAGAACTAGTTAGTAAAATCTAACAACCATATAGTAAATGCTCAATTTGCAAAATGTCCATCAATTGTCCCAGAATTCCATTGTTCTTGCATTTTCACACAAATCGCATTCTGTCTTTATACTTTACTGTTCGATCTTCTCGTCTCTCTGCTGCCAGACATTCTGTTCACGACTCACGTCATATACTACTGATATCTACATAAGTAGCGTACACCACAATACAATTGACTGACTATTTAACTTCAGAGAACTCAATAATGTTTATTCATTCAATGTCTCAATACAGGTACATTGATCAGATTTATTCGTCAATCTTTAATGAGCTACGGATTACTAATTTCACCAAGAATTTCTGTATTTAAACACATGGAAATTTGTACAAGAAAGCATCACATATATATGCGACACACTTCAATATTCGGTTTGTATGACGGCTGGAATACAGTCCGTGTGCACAAACCAAAACTGGTAGTTCTCTTAAGCTGCCCCAACCTAAACCTTTCCCCCGGAGGTTTAATCCATAAGGAAATGAAGTAATGTTAGATGTAGTCCGACTGTAGCCGGTGGCCAACAATAGGTTTACGTGTGAATTGTTCTCTTAGGATCCTGGAACCCACCATTGATTTGAAATCATGTTTTTCCAATACCCCTAGATGGACAGTGGTGTTCTATACGTTCGAGTGCCGTAGTTGTGTACCGTATTCTGTGTTAATCAAGTAGCTAACTTAACACTACGATCTAATTCCTTCTTCATGTATTATATCCTTATATATTACTATAATTGAAGTAACTACTTCTATGAATATGGTGTTTATCTTATTGTGCGAGTGAGGTGTGGCAACTTAGACTGATGCATAAATTCGCCTAATCCCACATTGTAGAAGACTGACAGCTAATATCAATCTGGAACTAAACCTACATGTTGACTGGAAAAACGTTCAAGAATCGACGAAAACTAATTTTCTTTAGGGTATCAAATCATTCAAGTTGCAAGTTAAGTCAACTATCATAACTATTGAGCATAATTACAAAATTCAATTACTTAACCAAAATTTTAAAACCATCCACTTGTCAATTATGTATATAGACAGTTAAAAGCTTTTACCCAATACAGATCTTTTGCTCAATACATAAATCAAAAGATTCTCCATTATTTCATAAGTTCAAATATAGCACAAGTTAACATTTATAGACCGTTGGTCAAATGGTAAATAATCTAATGAACAAGAAAATAACTCATTACTGATAATGTATGTTCAATAGGAGGGAATTAGAAGGTTATCGTTAGGAGGTTTCACTTGATCTACATTTCCTCCTAACTGCCTATTATCTTCCATGTAATCTGAAGATTTCGTACACGTCGTGTGATTTATAGCCATGTCACTCAATTTCATAGATAGCAATGTTATATTATTGAGCTATATTTAACTGAGAAAAATCTCTTATATTATCAGTTGCATAATGTTGAAATTCAACTGTTGGATTTCGATAAAATCAAATATTTTAATATTACATACCATACTACTTATTAACTAGTTAGTAGTTAAATCAAGAAAACTCAAAAAACTAATTAAAAATGCTTTCATTTCTTTTTTTTAAAATGAATTAAATAATAAATATCTGTATAAAGTTGATTGTAAAACGCATCCAATTATGACTAGATAATAGCTGTTAAAAATAATAATAATAAATTAGACATTATTCTCATGATAGTATTGTCATAAGTAATATATTGACTTTACAATGCATTTATCCCATTATTCACCATTTGACGTTTGTATATATATAAATAAATGAGGAACAATGGAAGAATATACCAGAAAAGAAAGCAAATGATGGAAGTATTCAATTCTTAAAAGAAACGAATGTTTCTTTCTTTTTGTAAGTAAACAAAAAACAGATGATAAACACCTATATTAGAACTTTGAATCAGCAGTAATTCCATAGTTCTTTAATGAATTCTTTACAGTAGTATACATTTATTATTTTAATGAATCCATTTATAAAACATTGAACAACGTTACAATACATATATTGTTGTCATGGTACAACAGAAGCCATTTAATTATTTCAAATGAAATAAGCAAACTACTTATAACTTGAATAGTAGTAATAAAGTTAACACTGAAAAAACTAATATTTTTTTACAATGTTAATACTGTTTAACTAGAATTAGTTATAGTGAAATTACTACAACAAATCTCTTTTGATATAAATGAAGGTGATAAATTATTAGTTAAATGGAAATTATTAAAAGAGTTTATTAACATTAAAGTAGAAGATTGTTCATCGAATAATGATGATGATGAGGGCGATGATGATGTGGTTATTGTTGTTGTTGTTGGTGGTGGTGGTGGTGTTGTTGTTGTTGTTGTTGTTGTAAACGTGTCAAACGATAATGCTGGTGAAATAGATGTTGATGATGTATGAGATGATAGAGATAAAGATTCTGTATATGAATTATTCTCTGTACATGATGATGATGTTGTATTAGTAGTAGTATTTGTATCAATAGTAGTACAATCTGAATTAGTTATACTATTACTGTAATCTTTTGAATGAATTGAAGATAAAAATGGAGAATTTTGAAGTGAATCAATCTCAATGGAAGCTTGATGAAGTGACTACAATTATCAAAAAGAAAATGACATAAACATGAGTCATATATAAGTAAGAAACTATGAACATATTGTACACATAACATGGTATCAATATTAGATACCTGGCTAATAATGTAGTGAATGTAAGCAACCAAGATACGAATTTTTCTAATGACCATAGAATTATTTGGTTACTAAATAAAGGCTATCGTTGGAACAAGTAGTGTTATGTATCCTTAGCCACCACCTACCTACCTCAATGTACTACGTTTGTTGATGTACTATTAAGTTGGACAGAAAGCTACAAGCGACTACACTGAGATATGACATCAACCCATGAAAAGTCACAAACTAATGGACTGAGTCAGTGGAGACTACTTGATTATGTTCTAGATGTATATCATAACCAATGGTTATAGACACTGCCCCCAAATGCCCTGGTAGAGCCGAGAGTGGGGAGAGTCCGCTCTCCCTCTCGAAATGCTCTCACATGGCCACGCGTATATAGCACCTGCCAGGGAAGTCCTACTCACTGCCTTCTCGCATCACGAGTGTTGTTTACGAAAATGAGAGGACGAAAAGCGAAAGTCCGGCGCTTTAACGGTATCCCAAACCAAAGGTGCACATGGGCTGGCTCCAATATCCTGAAGGAACAAATGGCGTATGAATCAATCGTTGGTCACCGGCTTCCATGGGACTGCATCTCCTTACGATGCTCCACTGCCTTGTGGGTCAGACCTCCAGGTCGAAGGCTCGGGGTGTGGTCCCCTAACAAAACCACCTGCTTCGGTCTGGGCATCCGGACAGTATCACAGCCCTCACACATAACAAATGAGATTTGTGTGGCTCATATGTACTTGGTGCCTCCTTGATCCTATACCTATGTTATAGACATTGGGTGAATATCATATTGCTTTTTGCATTAATTCACTATGAATTTCCCTGTATGGGATATTTGTTAACCAATTAACAAGTTTCAATTAAATCAATATTTCTATCCGTGAGTGTGTTGATGTATCATTTTAAATTATTTTAGGAGTTAAATAAATTCTGATCATTAGTTTGTGTATTTTGAGTAAGTGTTGCATGGAAATCTAAGGTTCCCGTTTCCAAGCTACAAGCAAGCAGTAGGATCAGAGGATATTACACTCGATAATTAGTTATTTTTTGTCTATAAACAATACTGATATCGCCTTTCACATTTTTTTATATTTATTTACACAAAAGGCACCGATATATGCTCCACACTTCGTCATTGGATTTGTCTGAGATCTAGAGTACTGTTCGGGTGCCCAAAACGAATTAGGTGATTTTCTTAGGGGACCACAACATGAGCCTTTGACCTAGAGGTCTAATCTATAAGGCGGTTGAGCGACGCTAGTAGATGCGGTCCTAAATTAGACGATGTCCAACAATAGGTTCATATACCATTTATTCCTTCAGAATCCTGGAGCCCATGTACACCATTGGTTTGAAGTCAGAGATTTTCAAACCCCTAGATTGACTCATAGCATACACCAACCCGACTAAAGCACCAAACATTTGTTTTTTCCTCTCATTTTCTTAAACAACAACCCGTCCGCGAGAATGCAGTGAGTAGGACTTCCCTGGCAGTAGCTGTATACGTATGGCCATGTGAGAGAATTTTGAGAATGGGATTTAACTCTCCTCAATCTCGTTCATACCACGGAATTTCGGGGCTGTTTCGACAAGTTTAGACAGTGTATTGATATGTTGTAGTGACTTTAACTTATCCACATATAATTTAATGATTTATGTTGTTTAGTATTGATTCAGATTTATACAATTTTTACTAAACAACTTAATGATACCATGTATTCAGATTAAAATATTATCAACATTCATAAAGGTAAAACATATTGAAACAAATCGGCGAGACTATAATTTGTAGACAAACCAATCAGAGTTAGGATAACAGGTCTTGGATTTCAATGCGAAATTCATTCATCCATTTAGGTAAATACCATTTTGGTATTATAGCTGATGTCAGTTTCTGATGTAAACCCTTAATATAATCTCTATCCCTAATCAACAACTGTAAATCATAATCCTTATTCTGAATACTCATTCAGCTCTAGTGAAAAGGTGGATATTGAAGCTAGACCACCATGGAACACCTGGAAGCACTGGACGGTCGTTTCGCTGTAACGACTCATGGTCTGTTGTGAGATATCAGCTCACGGAAGACAATGGTGACGATGGCGCGATTTCATGGATTGGTTGAAGTTAGACATTAACACTGTTGAATGCCGATCAGCTCAGTGGTCTAATGGTTAAGCGCTCGCGCACAAGACTAGATAGGTCCTGGGTTCTAATCTTGCTGGAGTGGCGGGATCGTGGATTCGCACCGTTGAAGTGTCCCATACTAAGACGATACAGCCTTCCAGTGCTTCCATGTTTTTCATAGTAGTCTAGCTTTAATTAACTCATGATTTCAACTATTGAAATCTTATAATCATTATAAATAAATCAATTTAAATTTACCTCTAATAAACCATTCATTATAGGAAAATAATTAACAGTTGAATTATCATGATCATTATTATCCATTTTCAAATCATTAACAGTAGTAACATTTAAACAATCATTAATTGATTGATTAAGTATATTATCCTTTTCAAATTTGTTGTTTAAATATTCATTTGTATATTGAATAGATTCATATTGTTTAGTGAATGATTTCATTATTACATAATCATCCTTATTATTATTATTATTGTTACCATGGAAATGTTTATTATTACTATGATCATTTTCAATAGTATGATCATTTCTATCATTTGTAATGAAATAATGATCAGTTTGATTTAATCTTCTTATATGAATTGAATCAGATAAAAGTTCTAATTTACACATTGCATCACTATAAATAATTTTACATGCTTTTAATTTATCTGTACATAATTCAACATGTGTTTTGGCATCCTGAAATATAGAATATATAAATTAAAATAAAATATAAATAAATTAGAAACAAAGATAAATGATAAACAATAATGGATAATAGGAACTGTCCTGACCGTTGTTGCTACCTTGACGTGGTGGTCGGGCTTGCCTATCGTGATGAAGCAACTGAGCTATACTGGCTGGAACAACCGTTCCTCAAGGTCCTACCATGCCAGACAGGTCGGTTGAAGAGCGGTAAGACTAAAAGCAACAAATACAAGGTCCGAAGGCGAAGTCGTACTGCTGACTGTACAGAGGTGTGATAGCAGTAAGGTGTTTCCTTCAGACAACCAGCATAACACCGATGCTGCCTTCCCACAAGGAGGGGAGGGGTTAGAAAAGGTCAACCCTAAAAATGAACACCTCGCCTTATCCCACGGATATCCGTCTCCGGCGGTAAGGACTCACCAAGTACGGAGCTAACACAAAAATCACTCATAAAAAGGTCGTGTGTGACCGACCTCAAGCAGCTGTCCCTTGGGCACTGCGGTCACGCTCTCAGGTCACTATGACCAACTCTAATCCAATTTCCTTTTCAGGTACCTCCAGAAGAACCCTTCCACGGTGTGGGCAACCGGGAAGTGATAACCGCCCTCATACCTCTAACAGCACTCAAGAATAGTAACTGTAATATCCATGATATGTGTTTTGTTCTATTTGAGACTTGTCAGTTGGATGTACTTAAATCTTACAGTTAATATTCACTATGGGATTTGAACACAATATCGTTTACTTTCAATGCCATCGCGTTATCCACTTACTTACTGAGTTCATGATAACTACTTTCTTGTACAATCAGGGTGAAGTTTAAATTCACTGAGTATTGTTTGTTTGAATCTTCCCATTGATATTTAGAACTTTAATTGATTAGTCTATTATTGGCATATGTGTATCAGTAGCTAAGTGGATAGCGGTAATTGGTTCAAGTGAACAGAATGAACATCTACCCTAAAATGCAGGCACATCTACCTGACGAGTCCTAAATAGGATGAAATACACTTCATGGATTCCATTGCTAACCACCGTCCATCATACTTTATAATCCTTGTGACTTAAAGCAATATCAAGGTAATCAGCAAACGATGAACATAATAAAAAAGAGACTGATCAATAGCTGACCTATACACCGATGTGAAGATTCAAACAATCAGTACAAAAATGAATCAAAAATAAATTATGTGAAAATTTTTTGTAGATAACTTTCGATGATAACAGTAACTGTTGCAATCGAAGATTAAATTATAGGTAACTTCCGAGAGGAAGTTTAGATTTGAAAGTCGATGTAGGAGAAATAATAGGAATTGAAGAGGTAGGTTGATTATGAATACAGTGGTCTTGAGTGCTGTTAGAGGTATGAAGGCGGTTATCATTTTCCGGTTGCCCACATCGTGGAAGGGTTCTTCTGGAGGTACCTGAAAAGGAAATTGGATTAGGTATTGTCATAGTGACCTGAGGGCGTGACCGCAGTGCCCAAGGGACAGCTGCTTGAGGTCGGTCACACACGACCTTTTTATGAGTAGTTTTTGTGTTAGCTCCGTACTTGTTGAGACCTTGCCGGAGGGGACAGATATCCGTGGGATAAGGCGAGGTGTGCATTTTTAGGGTCAACCTTTTTTAACCCCACCCCTCCTTGTGGGAAGGCAGCATCGCTGTTATGCTGGTTGTCTGAAGGAAACATCTTACTGCTATCACACCTCTGTACAGTCAGCAGTGCGACTTCGCCTTCAGACCTTGGATTTGTTGCATTTAGTCTTATCCCTCTTTAACCGACCTATCTGGCATGGTAGGACCTAACTTCCGGGAATTATTTATAAACTGTTATTATATTTATATTCATATTGTATAACTGTTAGGTAACTACATTATATTGCTTTCATCATAAGCTTTTATTTGATCTAATGACTGCTAATATACGATTTACTATTCCTTAGTTATTACCAGTTTATTAATTACAGTATCTCGCGATTACAATCACTCTTGGCTTGATCTTGCATAACTGTTATTTTTTCCATTTTATGGTATAATGAGGTCTGGTCTGCTTGTATATTAAAACTACATATGTCTGAAATACATGATTCATACAGTGTTCTGAACTCAACGAAAAAAACTAGGCGAATAGAATCAATAAATACTTACAGTTCCCTCTAGGCTATTCGTACTAGTTAACACATGAATGATTTGGCACAGTGCCAAAGTCATGTAAGTCGTGCTCTAATTGATAATTCTGTCACGTGATTATTAACAAAGTATAAGAACATAACAGTAATATTCAAATATTAGAATACTATCAGAAAGGGGGTTTTGTAGAGATTTTAGTAATTTCAATTGTTGCGATCATGAGTCAATTGAAGCTAGACTACTATGGAAAACCTGGAAGCGCTGGACGGCCGTTTCTTCCTATTGTGGGACTCCTCAGCAGTGCGCATCCACGATCCCGCCTCGCGGGATTCGAACCCAGGAACTACTGGTCTCGCACGCGATCACTTAACAATTAGACTGCTGAGTTGGTCCGCATACAACGCTGTTAATGTCTAAATTCAACTAATCCACGAAACTGAGCGACACATCCACCATTGTTTTCAGTGAGTTACTATCTCACAACAAACCCGGTCGAACTCCACTGGTCACTGCTTCTCACTAGAATTCCAGGAAATATCTCTTAAAGCCAGTCACTAGTGAGCATATGTTGATGATTATCAGAAGGAGGTTTTGTGGAGATTTTAGTCATTTCAATTAGAATACTATCTTACATATTCAAAGTAAATAAGTTAACATTTAATACCGAATATATATATTTATATAAAAATAGAAATAAACTGAAGAAATTAATCTGATCAATTTGTTGGCCTGCTTGAATATCTGGGCTACCTGTGCCTCCCATCTAGATATTTCGTCAAGTTATCTGTTTTCTTGTTTGTTTTAACACACTATTATGTCTATTGAGCTCACAACCTATTCAGGCGCGTTTACGAAAAGTTTACAACCTTTCGCTGTACGGATTACAAAAAGGTACAACCAGCAACATCATGGTGGCTTGCAATATGCATTGAAACGAATGAACATTATTCAGATGTCGATTATCGAACTCCTAACATCTAACTGGCCATTACTCAATAATTATCGTCAGGATCGATCAAGATATAAGAACAGGAAACTTGTTGAAATACTTTATGCTGAGAATTCAATAGTGTACCACAAATATAATGTTGAATAAAGCTTATAATACTAAAAAAAAATAATCACTTAACCGAAAAAAAGAAAGAAAAACAAATGGATACAATTAAACATTTTAAAATTGTTGCTTAGCATAGGGAAATAGTATTTACAACATGATTCAATTATTCATTTAATCTATTCTATTCTTATTTCATAATGTTATCATGTAGAATGAAAGTTAATAATTCACTTATTTACTTAGTTAAACATATAAATATTGATATAGAGAGGCACTGAATACATATGCACCACACAAGTCACTTGATTTTTGTGTGGGCTGTGATACTGTCCGGGTAATCAGACCGAAGCAGGTAGTTTTTTTAGGGGATCACACCTAAAGCCTTTGAACTAAAGGTCTGATCCACAATAAAGTGCAGCAGCGTCAATAATATGCAGTTTCATGGTAGTCGGTGAGTAACAATTGGTTCATACATCATTTGTTTTCTCAGAATACTGGAGTCCATTTACACGATTGGATTGGAATTAGGGTTTTCCAACTCCGCTAAGTGAACTTTCCGTATACACTAACCCGGATAAATCGCTGGACATTCGCATTTCGTTCTCTCAATTTCGTAAACAACACCTACGCCACGAGAAGGCAGTGAGTAGGACTTCCCTGGCAGTGCCTGTATACACGTCGGAGGGAGAGTTGACCCTCCTCTCGGCTGTTACAGGGCATTAGGGGGATAAATAGTTCCAAGCTGGATAGGTTATTTAAAATGTTCATTTCTACTGAGATAAAAAAAAAGTTAATATCGATTCGATGGCTGTTGAAAATACCACATAATGGCCTATTACTGATTTGATTTATAGTTTTTCGAGTTCTATAACATTATTAGGACTATTAGATGTTCCTAACACAGGAACATTCATCAAAGACGACACAAACTAATCTGAAGACATGATTATGTGTTAATTTGAAAGAGATACTTAGCTTTATTCGAACTAAAACAGTTTGGAGTGTTAGTTGTGGCTATAGAATGCTTTAATTCTGTGTAATTTCAAGATGTATTGCAGTTGTTCTGTCTTATCGTGGTAATTCAGGTAAACCTATGATATTTCATTTAAATTGTTATTCAATAATAAGATTTTCGGCTTTATTACATATATTTTTAGTACCATTTCAAAGGAAATCAATAAATCGTAATCATTAGACTTCAAGCATGCTAGGTGTGAAACGTTAGGAATTGATTTAAGTTAAGCACATAAACCATCGGATGTGATCTAAAGGTTGTGCACTCACATATAAGACTGTAGGTTCAGAGTGTAACCTCCAATGTTGCGGTCGTAGATACACACACACAGCTCAGTTCCATACTAGGATGAGACAGGTATCCAATACATTCCGCCTTTCAATGAACAGTTCGTGATGAAAGTTATGAAAGAAAAAATAGTGATGAGATGTTTCGTTTTCTTATCTTCTTCTGAAACTTAGAGATATCTACACTATATCAACTACATATATTACAAAACCCCATTATATCATAGGTATTAGTATAACAAAAAATGTTTACATTATACAACTTACAGACATCAATGTAACAAGAGAACATTTCAAGACATGAAACACAATGGTACAAAATAAAGCAGATAATTATTCATTAAAAACAACAACAAACAAACAAATCATATGAACATCGAATAAGAATCTAATAGACCTATTCAACTTTACTGTATACTGATTAACCAACTGACTGATTGACCTGATAAATCCATAATTAAGTACAACTTAGTCAAGAAGAAAAGATCAAAAGTTCACATAA